CCCCAGCCCCAGCAAGGTACCCCCCACTACGTCACAGTGGGTCTGTGGTTTGGGGGCAGAGAGAGATGGGGGGGGTTGGTGGTTTGGGGGCAGAGAGAGATTGGGGGGTTGGTGGTTTGGGGGCAGAGAGGGATTGGGGGAGGGTCACTGGTTTAGGGGGCTCTATGCAGATTTCGGGGGGCCGCTCTCACCCCGCTCTGCTCCTTCCCCCAGCATCCAGCTCCAGTTTGCCTACACCTGGGGCCAGGTTTTCGGGGGCGAGCGGGGGACGAAGCACGAGGTGAGCCTGCTGCGGGGCGAGCGGATCACGCAGGTCTCCGGCAAACACTCCACCTACATCTACCAGCTCATCGTCTCCACCAACAAGGGCCGCATCTTCTTCTTCGGCCAGCCCTACGGGGTCAGCTTCAACGCCATCCCCGAGGAGCCCGTCGAGTTCCTGGACTTCATCACCGGGCACCACAACGGAGCGGCCCTCACGGGCTCGCAGGCGGGGGGGGCGCCGGGCCATGGTCCCAGTGGCAGGGCGTTCCCCAGGCTATCCCTTTGAATAGCTTTTTGCGGCCCAGAGAAGCACGTTCCTCACCATTAGTTGATTCATTAGAGCCGGTTAGAGGAGCTCATGAAATTAACAAGCAGCCTAATCAAGTGGCAGGATGTTCCGCAAGCTAACCCCGATCCCTGTCACTTTCCCTCCTTGTACCCTCTCCTGAGAGCGCTGGGCTGCCAATGCTTTGCCAGGATTAGAGGCTGATGAATTGCAGCTTGTTTACTCTAACAACGTGCTAATTAAAGCCTTAAGCATCAAACTCGGTCTCTGGGTTGTTGACTCAGGGGTGTGTGGCTGGCCGGCGGTCAAGGGCGGAACCGGAGTCAGGCCTAGTGGTTAGAGTGGGCGTCGGTAGCCAGGAAACGGTGCCGGGGTCACAGCTGAGGGAGAGCCCGGGGGGCCCAGCAGGATGGGAGCGCAGTGCGCAGGGGCCGTGGAACCAGAGACTCACAACCCCAGGAGGAGCTGTGCCGTGGGGCAGAGCAGGTGGGGCGCGGGTACCCTGTCCCGGCACTGGGGTCCTTTCGCACCGTCGGCCGGGTTAGGGGCACACGCCAAGCTGCCAGGTCTGGGAGCCGGGTGCCCGTCTTCCCGCCATCCCCCAGGCCCAATTCCCAGCACGCACCGTCCCTGGGGCCGCCCGCAGCCACACAAACGCCTCTGGCCTGGCTCTGCCACCCGGACGGAGCCCCAGCGATCGCCCCTCGGCCGCCCAAACAAACTGGCTCCCTTTCGCCATCTCGGGAACCCAAACAAACGCCGCCTCTTGCGCCCGCCAGGCACCCGAACACGGGGCCTTTCTCCTGGAGCGGCGCCCGGGCTCCCACCCAGAGCCTGCTCTAACCAGTACACCCCACTGCCCTGCCAGAACTGGGGATGGAACCCAGGAGTCCTGGCTCCCAGTCCCCCCCGGTCTACCCACTAGACCGCACTTCCCTCCCAGCCTGCCTCGGGCCCTGGCAGCCGGGAGCCGGTCCTGAGCCCCACGGAAGAAGGCTGGCCCAAGAGAAATGCCATCCACGTGCGTGCCGGCGAATCCGGGGAGCTGAGCTCAGGCCTGAGGATCCGGCGAGGCGTGTGCGTTGTGGGCTCCGAAACGTGTCGGGAGTCGCTGACGCCGGGTGGCCCCGGAGGTCCAGACCCGCTGCAGGTTCCTTAGGCTGCGGCAGCCAGAGCGATGCGGGGCCGGAGTAACAGGGTGCGACTCCGGATTGACCCTGAGAGCAGCACCCGGCTCTCCCCCACTGCAGGCGGGTGACTCCGGATTAGCCCCTCCCGGGGCCAGGGCCTAGTGGAGACACGGCCGCACCAGGAGTCAGATGTAAGGAGCCGGGTTTCCTCTGTACGGGGGGCTTGGAGCCCCCAGGCCTCACTAGGGCTGCTTAGGCTCCTGACCGCCATGGGGTTCTCCCCCAGCTCCGGGGCAGTGGGGTGCAGTGGTTAGAGGAGAGGGGCTGACAGCCAGGACTCTGGGTTCTCTCCCAGCTCCGGGGCAGTGGGGTGCAGTGGTTAGAGGAGAGGGGCTGACAGCCAGGACTCTGGGTTCTCTCCCAGCTCCGGGGCAGTGGGGTGCAGTGGTTAGAGGAGAGGGGCTGACAGCCAGGACTCTGGGTTCTCTCCCAGCTCCGGGGCAGTGGGGTGCAGTGGTTAGAGGAGAGGGGCTGACAGCCAGGACTCTGGGTTCTCTCCCAGCTCCGGGGCAGTGGGGTGCAGTGGTTAGAGGAGAGGGGCTGACAGCCAGGACTCTGGGTTCTCTCCCAGCTCCGGGGCAGTGGGGTGCAGTGGTTAGAGGAGAGGGGCTGACAGCCAGGACTCTGGGTTCTCTCCCAGCTCCGGGGCAGTGGGGTGCAGTGGTTAGAGGAGAGGGGCTGACAGCCAGGACTCTGGGTTCTCTCCCAGCTCCGGGGCAGTGGGGTGCAGTGGTTAGAGGAGAGGGGCTGGCAGCCAGGACTCTGGGTTCTCTCTCAGCTCCGGGGCAGTGGGGTGCAGTGGTTAGAGGAGAGGGGCTGGCAGCCAGGACTCTGGGTTCTCTCCCAGCTCCGGGGCAGTGGGGTGCAGTGGTTAGAGGAGAGGGGCTGGGAGCCAGGACTCTGGGTTCTCTCCCAGCTCCGGGGCAGTGGGGTGCAGTGGTTAGAGGAGAGGGGCTGGCAGCCAGGACTCTGGGTTCTCTCCCAGCTCCGGGGCAGTGGGGTGCAGTGGTTAGAGGAGAGGGGCTGGCAGCCAGGACTCTGGGTTCTCTCCCAGCTCCGGGGCAGTGGGGTGCAGTGGTTAGAGGAGAGGGGCTGGCAGCCAGGACTCTGGGTTCTCTCCCAGCTCCGGGGCAGTGGGGTGCAGTGGTTAGAGGAGAGGGGCTGGCAGCCAGGACTCTGGGTTCTCTCCCAGCTCCGGGGCAGTGGGGTGCAGTGGTTAGAGGAGAGGGGCTGGCAGCCAGGACTCTGGGTTCTCTCCCAGCTCCGGGGCAGTGGGGTGCAGTGGTTAGAGGAGAGGGGCTGGCAGCCAGGACTCTGGGTTCTCTCCCAGCTCCGGGGCAGTGGGGTGCAGTGGTTAGAGGAGAGGGGCTGGCAGCCAGGACTCTGGGTTCTCCCCC